CTCCCAATTGGCAGAAATAAAAAAAAAATTAAAAAAAAAATTAAAAAAATAAGTTGGGGTGGCGGTGGGTTTTTTTTTGGGGGAGGGGAGGAGGAGGAAAGAACCAGCATCCCGGGAGCAAATGCCCCAGGAGAAAAAGCTGCGCGCACAGGGTTAATTTAATCACCCCAAAAAAAAAGAAAAAAAATGAGAGAAAAAAAGAGAGAGAGAAAAATAGGGCTATTTTAATTTAATTTAATTTAATTTAATTTTTTTTTCAAGGAGGGGGTGGTGGGGAGGGGAAGTGGGTGGTGTGGGGTGGGGGAGGAGGAGCGGGGCGGGCGCGGGGTTGCGCGGGGGCGGAGGGGGTTGCGCGGGGTGCGGGTGTTTCACACCCACCCCCCCCTCTCCTTTTCCTTTCCCCGCCGTTCTACGCGGGCTGACGATTTTTAGTCTGTTTTGTCTCGGCATCCTTAGGAGTTGGTTACGGGGCCGACCGCCGGCGGGGCCGCCAGATTTATTCCCGTTATCAAACCCTGGAGCTGGAGAAGGAATTTCACTTCAACCGGTACCTGACCCGGCGGAGGCGGATCGAGATCGCCAACGCTCTGTGCCTGACGGAGCGGCAGATTAAAATCTGGTTCCAAAACCGGCGGATGAAATGGAAAAAAGAGAGTAATTTGAGTTCCACGCTCTCCGGGGCGGGAGGGGGGGCGGCCGCGGCCGCCGCCGACAGCTTGGCCAAGGAGGAGAAGCGAGAAGAGACAGAGGAGGAGAAGCAGAAGGAGTGAAGAAGTGACAGCTCGGCGGGAGGAACCCCCCCCAAACACACACACACACACTCACTCCGACCCCCTCCTTCCCACCCCCTCCCTCCCCGTATTTATCACTGGCACAACGTTTGGCTACTTTAAGAAAAAAAAAAAAAAGGAAAAAAAAAAAAAAAAGAGGAAAAATATAAATAATAATAATAATAATAATAATAAGGAGGGGGGGGAGGTGAAAAAATCCCGTCTGCGGTGGGAATGTGGACACCCCCTCCCCGCCCCCTTCTCTCCCTGCTGCTCTCCTCAGTGACCCCCACCCCGCGCACGCATCTTCCACCATCGCCTATTTATCTCACTCGGGATGAGACTGTTTCCAGCCGCACACTCCCCCTTCCTTCCTCCCCCCCCACAATCCCTCCGCCTTCCCCCCACCCCAAATTGGGCAGCCACCCTCCCCTGTGCCGGCTCGGACTCTGCCCAGTCGCTTCTCCTCCTTTTTCCAACCTCCCTTTCCCTCCCCAGCCAGAGCAACTCTGAAAAAAAAAAAAAAAAATCTGATTTCCCTGAGAAGAAAAAGGAAAAAAAAGAAAAAAAAAAAAAAAAAAAAAAGCTCCTTCCACCCAAATATCGCCTTTCCAAGAGCGTCCTCCTTGTATTTAAGCAGCTACCTGGGCTCATCAGCGCATTCTACAAACTGTGACAGTTTCTGTGTGAATATTTTTAACTGTGTTCGTGGTACCTGTATTTATATTTATGTTTAGCACTGTAATGTTCCACGGTATTAAAGTGAATGGAGTTCTATAGCGGTAGAAAAAAGCGGAAAACAAAAAAGAAGCAAACAAACAAACAAACAAAAACCTTAAAAAAATTAATTAAAAAAAAAAAAAACCACCTTGTGTTACACCCTCTCATGTATAAAGTCACGTCCAGAGGACTATGTCGAGTATTTAATAAAATCTGAATATTATTTTTAAAGTTTATAGAACGGCCTCTGAGCTTCAGTCTCGTGTGGAGAACAGCCTGTGTAGAAAAGTTCACTTCTCTTCTGTGTGTTGTTCCTGAAAAAAAAAAAAAATCAGCTCCCCTCTCTCCCCTTTTCCTCCCTCCTGCTCCTACAAGAGTATTCTATAAAAAAAAAAAAAAAAAAAAAAAGAAAAAAAGGAAAAAAAAAGGAAAGGGAAAAAAAAAAAAGAGAAAAGGGAGGGGGGAAATTACATTTTGCTTTGTCTCCTTGGATTAGTCTTGTTACTGTATTGTTCGGTGGCATCAGGAATCTATGCCATACCTCTCGCTTCATGATTAAAAATGGATTTCCAAAGTTCAAACCAGTATATATTTCTTATTGCTCCCCCTCCTCAGCCGAACCCCCAGGGCAAAGGTTGTGTGCTTCGATTTTTATTTCTATACATATATATATATATATATTTTAAATTCTTCTTCTCGTCGTTATTTCGGTCGCGTTCGAGCTCTCCACAGCTGAGAATCCCCCAGAGCTCTGCGGAAGGACCCATCAACCCCCCCTCCTCCTCTTCCTCCTCCTTCTCCTCCTCCTCCTCCTCCTCCTCCTCCTCTCCCTCACCTCCTCCCCGACTTATTTCAACCCAATAAACCTTTCCGGGGAGAAGAGGGGGGGGGAAGGAGTCACTTTTATCCAGAACCTCATCCTTAAGAGCTCGGAAATTGTGGATAGAACGCTGGGAGACAAAACCCCGGCAGGCTCGGGTAAAGCGTTGGAAAAACTGGATTAAAAAAACCACCAAAAACACCAAAAAAACCCCAAAAAACCTGCGTTTTCCTCGCCTCTCTTTGTCACTGCTCTGAGATTTGCTGGGAATTCCGTAGGTAACGCTGAGCAAAGGGGTGATAAATCCCTGGGAGCAACCCGGTGCCCTTCAGGATCTTTAAAGGAAACGAGCAGGATTTTGGCGTTCGGAGCGTTTGTAACCAGGAAGGACACACACACACACTAAAAAAAAAGGGCAATAATAATTAAAAAAAAAAAAAAATGAAGCCTAGGGAGGTGGTTTTTAATATTATTTTCCGCCCATCCTTTCCTCGTCTCTCCAACCTGGAAGGCGCAGGCGAAAAGGGGGCAGGAAAAGACGAAAACAAACAAACAAAATGTAAAAAAATCTCTTTCTGGGAACGAAAGGAAAAACGAAACAAAACAAGAGAAGCGACGGCAACATCGACAGCGAGAAAACAGCGACGAGGAGAAGCCAAGAGCGCTTTGCAAGAGGGCAACGACCTGGCCGAGCAGGAGGTGTAAAAAGCTTTGAATTCGCCCCCCAAAAAAAGGGATTAAAACCCCCCCAAAAAAGCAACGAAACTCAAAAAGCGTCTCGGCAAACACACAAATATCAAGCGGCGCCTGCAAGGGGAGGATGGAGGAGAGATGGAACCCCCGGAGCACTCGGGGCTTTCTCTGGCAGCTCAATGGAGATGGAACAGAGAGAGAGAGAGAGAGAAAAAAAAACGTGCTCAGGTTCTCTCAGAGCTCGGAGAGGGCCCTGGGGGGTGAGGGGTGGGTGTGGGGGGGTCAGTCTTGCCCCTCTCCCACCGCCCCCCGCCCCCCCCGCCTTTTCTCGCCCAGCTCTCCGCAAAAAATTAAGATTTTTTTGGGTTTTTTAAGGTATTTATTTGCCCCCTCCTTTGAAGAGAGGGGCTGGTTTGTGCAGCGAGGAAGATCCAGGGCTCTCCTGCCGGCGATAAATTGCACCAAAAAGAAAAAAAAAAAAAAGGAAGGAGGAGGTGAGGGGGGAAGAAGGTACCAGGAATGTAAACTTTGGCGCATTGGAGGAGCTGCCACGGGAGGAGCGGCCCCCGCAGGAGCGGGAGCTCCCAGAGCGCCCCAGAAAACCTCTCGGTGAACACTGCGGGAAAGGAGCTTTTTTTTTTATTTTATTATTTCCCCCCCCTCCTCGCAGCCGGCAAAGCTTCGGTGACAAAAAAAAAAAAGGAAAAAAAAAAAGAAGAAAAAACAACCAAAAAACCAAAAAACTACCCCCGCTTTAACCGGATAATTCAACATGAAATGAAATTAAAAATGCTGCTGGAGAGAGGGGAAGGCGGTGAGGAGGGCAGAGTTTCCCCTGCCGGAATGCTGAAAAAAAACCCCCACCAAACCCCAAACCCCCCGTGTCATTTCCCTCTTTTATTTTTATTTATTTATTTCTTGCTCGATTTATTTATTTATTTTTGGCGAGCTAAAAAAAAAAAAAAACCAAAAAAATTTTTAATCACCGAACCTTTTATTTCCGCTAGGGCCGAAAAAAATGAAAATAAAAATAAAATAAATGAGAATGATAATAATTAAAAAAGGGAATTATTCTGGGGGGGAACGGTAAGGGAGGGGTGCCGGGGGCGCGGAGGGGGCGCGGAGAGGGGCGCTGCGGTGCCGCGGAGCAGCACTAGGTGACGCTGCCGCCTCGCCGTCCCGCAGCGCGCTGTGTGTCCCCCCCACCCCGCAACCTCCCCACCTCGCGCACCCCCGCGGGCGAGTCCCGCGGGGGCGCCCCCATCAATAAACCCGCCCCGGGGGGTCATCGAGGCAAATTGATGAGTGGTCGCCGCCGTTCACGTGATGCCGCTTGGATATCCCATATTTGGGCAGGTTGGGAGGTGGTTTTTTTTTTTTTTTAAGGAGGGGGGGGGGTTAAAATTAAAAAAAAAAAAAAGGAGGTGGGGGGAGAGAAGAATCCCCACCTATAAATTCTGCACTTTTAGGAGGGGATAAAATACCCCCCCCCTTCTTTCCCCTCCTTCTCCTTCCTTCTCCTCCCCCCCCAATCTCGCCCCGCGGAGCAGCCCTGAACTTCAAAAGGGTCACAAATCAACCCCCCCCCCCTTTAATCAAAGAGGTTTAAAAAAAAAGGGGGGGAGGAAAAAATAAAAAACAACGAGCAAAAAAGAGGGGGAAAAAAAGGGGAGGAAAAGGGGGAAATAAGGGGGAAGAGGAAAAAAAAGAGGGAAAAAGAAGAAAAAGAAGAGGAGGGAAAGAGGAAAGAAGAGAGGGGGAAAAAAGGAGGAAAACGGAAGAAAAAGAGGAAGAATAAAGAGAGGGAAAAGAAGAAAAAGAAGCGAAAAGAAGGGGCAAAAAAAACGAAGGGGAAAAGGGGGATTAAAAAGAGAGGAGAAGGGGGAAAAACCCCCCTCCCAAAATTTTCCTCTTCCCCCTTCTTCTTTTTTTTTTTTTGGTGTGTATTTTGTTTCCTCCCACCCCCTTTTTTTTTTTCTCCCTCCCCCAATTCCGCCATGAGTTCTTACGTCGCCACCTCGTTTTACAAGCCACAAAGTCCCCCCGTCCCTGCCTATTCCATGCAAAGTTATGGAAATTATGGAAGCGCGCCCGAGGTTCAGCCGCCCAGGTACCGCCACGGAGGGTCGGCTTTGAGCGGCCCCCTCCCCACGCGTGGCTCGGACATGTCGGTCACCCCCCGAGGCGACCCCGAGCGAGCTCCCTGCACGGTCATGGGTTCTTCGGGGCGCCCTTTAGGCCGAGACGAGCGAGGGGCCCTAAAAAACGGGATTTACAGCCCGCTGGAGGAGGAGGAGGAGGAGGAGAGATCCAAGAGCTCGGCGGAAATCAAAGGCGAGCCCGTGCCATCGGCGCAGCAAGGAGGACCCCAACTGCAGCAGCAGCAGCAGCAGCAACCACCGCAGATTTACCCCTGGATGACCAAACTCCACATGAGCCATGGTAAAAAAACTTTCGCTTCTTGATTTTTTTCCCCTTTTTTCCCCCCCCCCCCTTTTTTTTTTTTTTTTTATATATATATATCTTTTTTTTTTTTTTTTGCCTTAGGTTTTTATAGGCCGTGAGGGGCAAATAATAAAAAAAACCTGCGGTCGTAAATTTTACGACTAAGGCATCAATTGCTCGTAAAACTGTCCACTAAAAGGCTTAGAGGCTATATACGCCCAAATTTATGACGGCATAATTGGATCATAGAAACAAAACGTGTATAAAAGGCAATATTCCATTTTTTTGGGGAGGGAAGGGAAGGGGGGGGTTAAAAATAACTTGAAATACACATGTTCTTTGAGGGTGAGCTGAGAAGAGGGGGAAGAAAATAAAAAAAAAGAAGGGACACACCAGAGGGAAAACGTGGGGAGAGATTTTCCCCCTTCGTCTTCCCAGGGCTGAGAGTAGGGGGAGAGGGGAAAAAAAAAGGACGAGATTTTACCCCCCGAAAAGATCTTTCCTTCCTTTGTACACCCTTATTGTCCGAGAGGAAACAGGTTCACTTCTGGCTCATCTACATGTGTTTGATCTGGGTTTTAGGAGGCAAGGGAAAGGAAAGGGGGAGATTTGGGGGCTGAAGGTGTTGGGGAGTGAAGGATTTCAGGCTCCTTCGCTTTCCCGAGTGCCCAAAAGCCCCGGGAAAACTTCTGTCCATTCGAGGTTTGTGACGGGATTTTAAAGAGAGAAAAATAACATAAAATAATAAAAACAATCCAAATCCCCCCAGAACTGCTTTGACTTTTCCTGCGGTGTCTTTCCCTTTTTTTAGTTGAATTTATTTATATTTTTTTCCCACCACTCCCCACCCCTTCTCTCCAGAAACGGATGGGAAACGCTCCCGCACCAGCTACACCCGCTACCAAACTCTGGAACTCGAGAAAGAGTTTCATTTTAACAGATACCTGACCCGGCGGAGGCGCATTGAGATCGCCAACAACCTCTGCCTGAACGAGAGACAGATCAAAATCTGGTTTCAAAACCGCAGGATGAAGTGGAAGAAAGATTCCAAGTTGAAAAGCAAAGAGGCTCTTTAGGTGGGATTTGCAGGAGGGGTGTGCGTGTGTGTGTGTGTAGGGGAAAAGCTCCCCTGCTTTTTCTTTGGTTTTAAGGATTATTAATGTTATTATTATCATTATTTTTAATTTGTATTTCCCGTCGCTTCTGGAGGAATAGACCCGGAGGAAACTCTGATATTTTTTTTGGGGTGGGGAGGGAGAGGAGCTGCTGGATGGACTCTGGTCCGTACTCTGACAAATCCCTCAGACAAAGGAAATCTCTTATTAATATGCAAAAAAAAAAAGGGGGGAAAACCCCACCTCAACCAACCGACAACGTGCAGAAACTTCGTGTCTCGCTCCTTCGGTTGTTACCAAATGTCCGAACCTTTGCGCTTCTTTGGGGTGTGGGGGGAAAACCATAAAGACCAACAAAAAAAAACCAACAACACACCAGGGTGAAAAAAAAAGGCTTAAAAAAACCCCCAACTCGGCTGGCGGCAGTTCTAAAAAATCGCGATATTCCCAGGAAAAGCGTAAAATATTCCCTGGAAAAGTATAAAAAAGGGTTGGGGAAGAAGGGGAGGGTTGGGAGGGGAGAAAAAAAAAAAGGGAAATAAAGTGGGGGAAAAAAAAAAAAACCCGCGAAGTTCGGTGAAGTCTCAGCCTCGCGCTCTGCTCCTGATGGGAGACGGGAATTGCCGCTCTGCTTTCCCGGGAATTGCCCCGGGGAAAGATGCTCAAAGGGGAAAAAAACCCCTCCCCTCTCTTAGGGTTTGGTACCCCCAAAAACGCGCCCTGACCCCCCCGGCCAGGGGTCGGGGTGGGGGGGTCTCGCTGGGGGGGTTGTTTTCATGTTTCGCTGCTCCTGGGACGGCGTAATTTTATTATTATTTGCATATCAAAGGAATTAACGGCCGCGGGGATGGGGGGGGAGGGTGGTGAACACCCCCCTTTTTGTGCGAATCCTCTGACAAATTTGGGGGGGGTGTAAAAAAGTGCAGTTTGGGGTGGCGGGGGGATGAAGAGGGAAGGGAAGAACCTCTTGGACTTGACTATTCTCGTGTATTTATTCATTCGTGGCGTCATTCGTGTGGATTTGCTAAATGCTCGAATTATCTATTAAAGGCAGCCAAGGCGAACCCCGATTTGTAAATCTCTGTCTAAATTCGCTCCCTGGCAGTGAATTCTCTCCTTTTTTCCCCCCCCCTCTTTCCCCTCACCCCTTTTCCCCCCGGTCTATTTATCAGTTGTCGTTTCAGCTGCGAAAGGGGCCGATGAAACTTCTGTTTTGTCGCGAAACGACCCCAAAAAGTCGGTGGATAATCCCGCGCTCCTTCCCCGCCCCGGGGCAGCTCCTGCTCCTCTGCTACTTTGGAAAAGTATCGGTTTCTCTGAGAGCGCCGTTCTTTTATTTCTTGGAAGAAAAAGTAGGTTTCGGGAGGGAGGGAGGAAGGGATGCTTTGGCTCAGAGAGCATCCTTCTCCCTTAAACCCTGCAAAAGGTACGTGCTGCTTTTCCTGTTTCCCCAGAGCGTGGAAAAAATCGGGGGGAAAAAGGTTTTTTTTTAAAAAGAAATGTTTGGTGGTGAAGCTCTGGCTGGGCCCTGAGGAAGGTGAGGTTGCTCCCTGTGCCAGTCCGGACTTTTTCATCTTTATTTCTCTCAGGCTTTTCATCCCAGGCTGGTGTCCTCGCCTGGCAGATGGTATTTTAATAGGAATATGGGATTAAAATTACCTTCTCTCTCTCTCTCTGTTTCTCTCTCCTCCCCCCTTCCTCTCTCCCCAAAGTCTCCTCGGCATAAAACGCTTTTCTTTACCCCCCCCAAAAAAATCTCGCTGTCGTCGCCTCTCGCTGCAGGTCGGACGTGGGAAGGAGGTGTCCCAGTGCCTGACTGGAGGTGACTGGGATGGGGATGGGGTGGGGAGGAGATGGGGGTGCTGCTGAACCCCCTTCTCCAGAGGGGAGCAGCCCTTGGGAGGGGAAGGAGAGGCTGAGGGGAAGGGGAGGGGCTGCACTTCCCTCCTGGATTTTATATTTATTTATTTATATTTATTTATATATTTATTTAATTATTTAATTATTTAATTATATATTATTGTATGTGTGTATATATATATATAAAAATAGGGTTTTTTCTCTCTGGACCTAACCTGGAACACACGGAAGGGGAGGAGGGGGGGTTGTAAATGCGCCTTCCAAGGGATGTCCATCCATCCCTCCATCCCATCCATCCACCCACCCACCCATCCATCCCATCCATCCCAGGGGCCACCGCTTGCCTCCAGACGGATCCTCCACCATATGGAGGAGGAGGAGGAGGTGGTGGGAGGGGGGGGCTCAACAACCCTCCCACACCCCACCCCACGCTCCATCCCCCTTTTCCCGCGTGGGGGCCGCCCCCTGGCCCGCACCTTGCCGGGTGGATTTGCATGGAAGGGGCTCAACCATCTCATTTACGGTCCCTCACCACCACCACCCCCACCTCGAGACGCGCACACTCCTCTGAATTTGGGAGGGGGGGGAATTCCTGCCGGCTCTTTACGGGCGCAAAACAAACGCCGGGAGAAAAGCCAAGAAGCTCCCATAAAACTTTATGGGATTTCCTTTGACACGGGGCGAGGAGAGAGAGAGGAGGGGGGAGAAAAACAAGAGCAACAATTTCCTGAACCCGCAAGACAAAAGTTTCCTCCTCCGGTAGCTCGGGCTGCCTTGAGGGAGGGGGGGGGATGTAATTAGCCCGGGGGATGGGGCTTTCCCTTTTAATTCTTATTATTTTATTTGCCGGTTGTTACTCGTGGATTGCTACTTGGCGAGCTGCGGAGATATTTAATTTTATTGGCGTGTAACACTCGGAGGATAAAAATCCCCTTGTATTCGCCTTTTTTTTTTTTTTTTTTTTTCCTCCCCCTTTTTCTGGCGTCTCGCCTGTCATTTCCCCGTCGGTTTGGGGTGAAATACTGCAAAAGCCAAGCCGGCCTCGCCTGGCCTCTCACATTTATCTGCTGCCTCTCTCAGAGTGGCTCCCCCACTCGTGGGGCCTGCGGTGATGGCTCGGTAGCGATTCCAATCATCTCTTTTCCCTTTTTTTTTCCCACCCCCTCCTCCTCCTCCTCCCCTTTTTTTTCTCCCCCCCCCCGGTTTTTATTCTTTCCCCATGCTGCGTAAATCTATTGACTGGTTATTCAGGCACAAACCCCTCTTGGCGTGTGCTGGTAATTGCTCGTTATTCCGTTCAATTTTCTCTTAAGCAACGTCTTCCCCCCTCCTTTCTCCCTCTCCTCTCTCTCTCCGAGGTTATTGCAGCGTCGCCGGGTTATTCTTTTTTATTATTCCGATTTCATTTCGCACTATAACAACAATTTTCCTCCCTCCCACCCACCCCTCGACTGTGAAAACCGTCGAGGCAGCTCGGGTTGGGCAAGGCAAGGGTTAACCATCACCCGGCCCACGCGTGTTTCCAGCTGCCAGAGCAGGACACCCCAAAAAAACCCACAAAACCCCACCCAGAACAACCCCCAAACAAACTCAGAACTCAAAAAAACCACCACAAACATCTCTTTAAACATCCAACTTCGGCGCTTCCACCCCGCGGAGAGCTGAGCGCGGCCACTTTATGATTAATTATCGGCTTCTCCTGCCCCGGGGAGGGGGCACAGAGGAGGCTTCGGGGTTGAGGGGGGGTCTCGGCACCCCTCACCCCTCTCTTTAAGGGTTTTTCTGGGTGGTTGGGTGGGTGTTGTTGCTGCTGGAAGAGTTTTGCCTCTTTTCGGTTCCCCCCCCCCCCATCTCTCGGCTGCTCCAATCCCATCCCCAAAGACTCCGAGAAGGAAATAGAAAAGGACTTACCTTGCCCCGCCATCCGTGGCAACCCCGTGAGAACTTAAAGCGGCCCAAAAACCAACAAACAACCCAAAGTTCTTTTTTTTTTTTCTCCTTTCATCTTTTATATATACATATATATATATTAATCCAAGTCGACTTTTCCTCTGTTTAAAAACAAAACAAAAAAAACCAAACAAAAAACCAAACCGTCAACGAACCGAACCAAAAACTGAACCAAACCAAACCAAAGAAAAAAAAAAAACAAAACAAAACACAAGCTCTTTTTAGTTTCACCGCCAACATTAAGGCAGAAAATACTCATGATGGGCTCCTACGCGATTTTTTTAGTAGTTTAAAACTTTTGAAGGTTATTTATGTGGATGGCCCTAAGCAAAAGCCCTGAATGGCTCTCAGGGAGCACGTGATGTCATTAAACTAAGTTTTATGGTTTGGGGGAGCTGACAAACCCACAATATATTTACATCATATATAATCTTAACTGTCCACCATCGCAGCTGCTTGAGCTGTTTTAACGCCGGGACAAGCGGGACAAGCGGCTTTTAGTGCGGAGCGCGGCGGCCGCGGGGGCTCCCGGAGCGGCTTCTCCCCCCCTTGGGCCACCCCCAGTAAGTTTTTCCTCCTTCCTCGGGTTCTTTTCTCCTCTTAAATCTGTTTGTTTAATTGTTTTTTTTTGGTGTGTTTTGTGTTTGCGCTTTTTTTTTTTTTTTTTTGAGTCGTTCTCAGGAATTGCGAATTTTTTTTTACCATCTCCTCCTCCCCCCCCCCGCGTGGGAAAAGGGGTGTTGCGTGTGAGGGGATGAGCTGGAATGCGACTTTTCTGCGGGTTTTATCTGGAAGGAATCCGCTCCATCCTCCCCCTGCTTTCCATCCCCGGGGCTGCTGGAGAGGAGATAAGGCCGAGGAAAGTCTCTTTATTACCTTTATTACCGGTTCGGCAGCAAAAATCCCCCCCTTTTTCCCCCCCCCCTTTTCCCCCCTCAGGGTGGGCTCAAAGTTTAACCCCCCCCTTCCCATCCAAATTATTATTATTTTTGGGGGAGGGGGTTTAATTTGTGCTGGAAAAGAAGAGGTGGAAGGGGAAGAAGTAAAAGAGGAAGGAAAATAAAGGGGAATAGAGAGGGGGGAAAGGAAATCTCAGCGTGCGCCGGGAAGGGCATGCGCGGGGTGGGGTCGCGGCAGGTGAGGGGAGGGAG